ACCCCTGCAGCCCTGGCCTGGGGAGGGCCCCCTCCCGCGCAGCGCAGGGGCGGGAGAGGCACCGTCCGGAGAGACGGCTGGGACCTCCAGCTGCAATTATCAGCGCCTCCGGCCAAGCCAGCTCAGCTAATGAGCACACCGGGGAGCGTGTACGTGCGGCAGGCGGGAGCATGGCTGGGGGACCCGCTCCCACCCCTGGCACCCAGAGCGGCACCTCACCGGTGGGCCCTGTGCCTCTGTGCACCCAGAGATCGGGGGGCCCAAGCCTGCTGGGGAGGTGCTCGGGACGGGTGGGGCAGGCACCGTCAGTACCGAATCGCCAGGTGCAGCCCAAGGGCACAGCTCACACCACGGCTCTGCCCTAGGGATCCCAAGGGATGCTGGGGATGGCCGCAGCCTGGAACTGAAGTCGTTCACACCAGGGCTTTTATGAAAGCCCAGGTAGGAAGGGGACAGATCACTAAGGACAGACCCGACACGAGCCCAGGGTCCTCCCGCCTCCAGGACAGACAGTGACTTTCCCATTGAGTTCCTCAGTGCCTTTGGGCTAAGCAAAGGAGGTGAAAAATCACCTGCAGCATCCAAGCATCCAACCATGGCACCGTCAGGCACAGACCTCCGCACTGCTGCGATGCTTTCTCAAGGACGCCATCAATTCACAGGCAATATCATACTGTCTTCTACTACCACAGCTGAGCAGGCAGCCCCTGCCGTCGCTTCACCCTGTGATCCCTCTGGGCCTGTCTCATGCTGCGTATGAAACTTAAACGCAGAAGGGAAGTTTTAGCATCTACTTAACCCAGGAGAACCAAGTATCTCACCGTCTACAGTCTTTAGGAGAAGGTCCAAGAGGAGCCACAGTTATCAGGAGATGGAAGTCTGGATTTCAGCTTTGGCTTTTCCATGGGGTTTGTGCCGCTCTGGGCCTGCCTAGAAATATGCCCAAGTTTTTCCATGCTTAGGTATAACCTTACAGCACTGCATTAAGGGAGCAGAAATCACTACCAAGGATGGATAAAAAAGAGGCGATGCCATGTGGAAAAGCATGCAGAATGGTCTTTAACACGCTCTAACAATCTGAAGAGAAAGCTCACACGTACCGGGGGGGACTCTCCAATTAAATAAATGTATTGCATCCCTCTGGACTGTTTCAGAGCGATATTAAGGAAAGAGAGATGGAGTATGTACACTGCATGCCTGAAATGAGCCTAAGGTGACTAAATGCCAGAGTGGCATTTCAAAGGCACTGCCCTGTGAAGGGTGAATATCAGTGCTGCTCCTGCCCTCCTTTCCTCCGCTCCTCACTCCCACACACATGTACAGATGAGTTGAGATGCAGGCAGGCAGACTGACATACCTGCGAGAGGCTTTATTTGAAGGGCTTCTCAAGCACAAGCCCTGATTATTATACAGCTGGCTGCCCCAATCACTCAGAAAGAAAAAGCACTCCAATGATACATGGAAAAGTTATCTCAAAAATAACAAGGCATTAAAACACTTGAGATCAGTTGCATTAAGGTCGGCAGGAGCATTTCTATTCCCCAGCCTGATCACCCCCATGCCCAGGCCAGGGAACCTCGTGTCACCCAGTATCTCCTGTTTTGGTCCCCATTAGTTCAGCAAGAGAAACTTGTTTCCTTGGATCTGCACCTGGAAGGAGGCTCAGAGAGACAGCCTCGCCTCCCTCTCTGCAGCACCCGTCCCTTGCATGGGACATTGATGGCATCACCTCCCAGGAGAGTGTGGACGGGCAATTCTGGCAACCAGGACAGGCACCCAGAGCTGCTCTCTCACGGGTGAAGGACCTGAATGGATGCACAAATGCCCCTTGCAAGATGTCCCAGAAGCCACAAGATGCTGCTTAGCTCGTGAGACAGCTGTGTGCGAAAAGCCCAGCAGAGATGTGAGCATCTCCCTAATTTCTCCATGAACCTGCAGTGCCCCTTGGCCATGCCACTGCCGCCTGAGACCGTTTTTGAGGAGCCAGGCTGCATTGCACTGACAAGCCACCGTGGCACAAAGCCAGGGATGGACCAGCTTAAACCTCCGCTTTCAAGGTTTCACTGCATCCCTGCCTGCAAGCAGCTATTCCCAGGTGCTCTTGCATTTCCCACCAAAATGGCCAGAGTTTAAAAGTTTGTTTTCAAGCCTAGGCTAACCCTCAGAAAATGCAGAGCAAACCCCACCAGGCTGCCTAGGCTTGCCACCCAGCACCCACACCCAGAGAGCGGCCGTGCTCTCTGCCCGCCCGATGCACCAGTACCCCTCGCTAGCTCACAGCACGGCCCACAACAGCAGCTAGCATCCTGCTATACATAGAGCGGTGCAGTGATTTGCCTGCTCCTTCCTCCATACATAACAAATCCCCCCAGTGCTGCGGTCCCGGGGGAGAGACAGAAAGAAATGTGTTGATTTAGAAGCTGAGACTCCCACAGCGGTGCCCACCAAGCGCCCCCCGTTATCTGCATTCCCCAATCCCCAAATGTGGCACCCACACCACATTTTACGAGCTTCCTTATGCCATTCGCTGTAACATGCCCTAACAGAGACAGTACTAACATGAGCAGGACCAGCAGCATTCAAGGGGCCCAGCTGAAGGAGAGGGAGGAGGGCTCCCATTGCAGCAGCGCAGTGCTCGTATGGCAATAGACTACAAATCACTTGGTTTTATACGGGAAGCTCTTTAGCACAAGGATGGAGGGCTGTGTTTGCATTGCCGTACCATCCCTGGACCACGCAGGAAACTCTCCTTGGACCGTGAAGCTCCCCGTCCTCTTATCTGACAAGCAGGGATCAGCAGTGGCAGGGGAGGAGGAGGAGGTGCAAAGGCTGCTACGGGGAGCTCAGCCCTGGCTCTCGGCTCCCTGAGGAGCTGCCAGCCGGAGCCGCAATTCATGCTGCGGTGGTGCGGCCCTTCTATCAGCAGGCAGCTGTCTCACGCCCAGCCCACGTGCGGAAACCTCTTTGTCGTGGCAGCTAATGAGCAGATTGTATTTCACAGTGCCATGGCCCCGCGCAGGTATGGCCGGCGGCTTTCATCTCCCTGATAGCTCCCACGGGAAAAGAGCTGCCTCGTGGAGCAGGTCACGGTCCGGTCTTGCTGGGCTTTTTGGTGTTTGCAGCTTTTAAACCCTCTGTCGGTTTGCACCTGCCTGTGGTTCTTTTAAAGCACAGGAGGGGAGGGAACAGGGTTGGGGAAGCACCCACTGGAGTTTGTGCAGGAACATGTCAGTGGGACGTGGAAAATAGATAAACACTGAAACACGTGGAACAGCAAGGAAACAGCCATGAGGGGGGTGGCATCTAACTTATTTGGAGAGTTATCTTTAAAACAACAGCAAAATCCATTTTAAAGACCTCCATTGTGTTTAACAGCCCGGGGTTTATTCCTCAAACTTCTTCCCTGGCTTTAATCCTGCTCCTAATTGCACGCCTGCTCCAGCCGCTGAAGCCGCTGTCCCCGCTGTGCCAGGAGAGCTGGCCGTGGGCCACCCTCTGTCCCTGCTGCGCCGGAAGAGCTGGCCTGCACCCGTCCAGCCAGGAGCAACCCGGTGGGGGGGCCGAGGCCCTGGGGAGGGGGGGG